GAGGGAGGGGCGGCGGCGGCGGGGGCAGGGGCGGCGCCTCCCGGGCCATGTGGATGACCGCCTCGATGGTGGCCATGATGGTGTCTTGGCTGGCGGCTGGCTCCAGCACGAGCGGGCTCAGGCTGGGCTTCTGCCCCCTTTTGCTGGGCAGGTCGATGCATTTTTCCAGCACCGGCATTTGATCTCTGGAGTCCTCATCGAACTGGGTGGGCTGCTTCCGGGGACGCCCTCGCCTCTTCTTGACGAAGTTGTTGCCTGTCTTTGATTGTCTCTGCAGCCGCTTGGCCTTGAGGATCTTGTTCACGTGGTCCAGATTCTTCTTGGTGGACAGAATCTTGGTGTAGTTGCACATCTTCCGCACTTCACACTGGATGGCTTCGATCTCCCGCCGCTTGAATCGCTTCTTCAAGGCGGAGCTGGCTGCAAGAGGGGAGGAGAGAAGAAATTGAGCTCGGGATGCAAGCTGCCTGAAACCTAGGCTTTCGCTGACGACTGGTGTGATATTTGGCTAGAAAGGTTATGGAGAACTACTCAGTCGTTGATATTTACTCTTCCTTTTTTGTTATTCATTGAAATTAAAAATAATAAAAGTAAACACTGGTCGAGTATCTGCTATGTGTACAAAGCATCTCTATTTACATTATTTCAGTCCTCACGATGACCTGAAATATCAGTACTGTCGTTCCCATTTTAAAGGTGTGGAAATGGAGGCTCACACTGTTGAGCCATGAGAGTCAATGGCAGAATCACAGTATGAATTTTAACCATTATTTTTCTTATTACAGGTTTAATTTTTTACTCAGCCCTTTGACATTTGATCCAATTCAATGTAGCATTAGGTTCAACTTTCTCCTTCTGAAGATGTTGAACGAATAAAAAGCATGCAGCCCTCCACATCAAGCAATGCAAATTATCCAGATGTGCTATCAGCCTGGTAGAAAAGATGTCTTGGCCTGATCAAGAATATGTGACTGAACTATTTTTATTCCTAACCCTCCTCCACTGACACAGGGAGGATTATTTCCTAGGACACTCTAGCTGGGATGGGTCTGTCTCTCTCCATTTTTTCCCCCCAATGGTCTGGACCTGTCAGGTTGCTTGTCTATGCCCAATTAACCAAGTCCTTAACCAGTTCCTTCTCTGGGAACCGCAAGGGAAATATCAGCCAGGTGTTTCTGAATCACTTACACCTTCCCCACCAGGTTGTGGTTTGCAAAGAGTTCTTTTCATGTCCTGGTAGCCAGACGCTCCTGTATTTTAGAGCCAAACTCTTTGTCTCAGGAAGTCGTGTACTGTTGCCACTAAATGGCCTTCAGAATGGCTTCGTTCTGAAGTTCAGATACCACAAGTGTGAATGGCTTCAAGACATAGCTGACCTTTCCTCCTTTAGATCATTCTTTCTCCTGTGTTGCTCACAAGTCGGAACGTGTGTACATACTGGTGTGTGCACACACCCCACTGCCCCACCTTCATGCTGGCCACGGCCTCCGGGCACTTACCAGCCTAAAAAGTGTGCTCTCACTGAGTTCTTTGCTGCTGTCATTTACCTTAAATATTCAACCCCAAAGAAGCTTACGTAGAAGACTTAGGCTTCTATGTAGGCCTAGAAGGGAATATTTGTCATGTTAGTGTCTTGGTTTATTATCCCTTCCATTATATTTTTCACCTACAAGTAGAAAAGTAGAAGAAATACGTTAGGGAAGAGGAGGAAAAAATGCTTAAAACATGGACAACACTCTCACTTATTCTTGGGGACCCCCCCTCATTCTTTTTCCTGCTTTGCCACATTTCTCCCCCATGCTGTGCCCATTACAGATTCCAGGAGGGTTTTATTTGAAGTTATTTATGACACTAGCTTCAGGGAGTGGGAAGCGCTGAGTCCCACAGGCCAGGTCAAAATGCCACTGCTTTTGGCCAAAGGTCAGTAAGACTGACTGAGCAATGAATAACTATGGAATGATCTATACAATAAGTTATAAAGATCTAGATAGAACAAAGCCAGAGTGAGCTTCTGATTATAAAAATAAAATTTTTGTAGTTAGTTTTGTAAAAGGAAAAGGTTGCTTCATGGTAAGTTCTCTGATGCAGGCACCAATTCTTGTCCTTCTTTATGTCCCTCACAGGGCCTAGCAACGTGCCTTATATACGGAAGGGGTTTAAAAATTGTTTCTGGACTGACAAATCAGACTAACCATTGCTGCCTTATAGTCATATTCTCTAAAATAGTTCCAGTTTGGACTTTTAATGCAATCATTGCAAACATAAGAACAATAAGAAGTAGCAGGCCTCCATGTTGGAGATATGTAATTTACCTTGTCCATATTTCTGGAGTAAATGAAAACTAGTCAGAAACACTCCACAAAACGTCTGGCATTATTCCAAATACAGGTTCCATTTGCAGTCTACCCTCTCTTTAGTTTACATCATACGTAGAGGAAGAAAATGCCATGTGGTATATAATACAGCATGCGAGTATAAAGTAAATCAATTAGTTGATAACTTTTGATCAAGTAAAGGTTGATTGAAATACTCCATGAGCTGGAGGTCATTTGGGGTAAATATAACCAAAGGATTGTCCTTTGCTTTTTTTTTTTTTTTTTTTTTTTTTCA